GTAATGGGAACTATGATGTGAATGTCATCATGGCTGCATTGCAGACTCGGGGGTTTGAGGCTGTTTGGTGGGACAAGAGAAGGTATTTTATTATACTATTTCAAAATCTAGTTTGAATCACATGTGCCAAAGAAATGTGCTCTTTGTGTTGGTTTTGAAAGCATTTCAAATAATTTAAGAAAAGTTGCACAACATATTATTTGCCTGCCTTTCTAGTATTTGATAATTTAAGAGACTTCTTGACCTTTACACAAAGTCATGAGTTCATGAGTTCTTGTGCAATACATGACATGATTAGACAGACCAAAATTCTTCATACAAAAAAGCAGTGAATAGCTTCTGTTAAAGAAACATTTTTTTAAGGCAAAATCTTTTAAAATATTCTCAAGAATTTATTTTACTTTGACTTTTTTCCGATTATGATACCAAGACTGTTGTATAACTATTTTTTAAGTAGTTGTAATTGTATACAGTTGTATAACACAGAAAGTAACATTATAATAACCCTAAAAAATGAAAATGATGTTCCAAACCTGTGTTTCTTTATTTAGCAGCACACAAAAGATTTTTTTTAAATGGCAGTAATCAAACAGTTTTGGTTCCTATTGACCTATATTGAAATTCTATGTCCATACAATAGAAGTCATAGGAATCTTCCAAGTATGTTCTTTCATGATACTCAGAAGAAAGAGTCATAAAAGTTTGGTGAGGCTGAGTGACAGAATCTTAATTTTTGGTTGAACTGTCCCTTTAATTCTATGCCCCAGAAGTTAGAAAAGGTGTATCATAGAAGAGAGTCATATGTATTTTTGTTTTGTTTTTAATGTCATATGTATCTGTTGTCCCACAGGGACGTTGGCAGCATTGCTCTGCCAAACGTCACTGGTTTCATCTTGAATGTGCCATCCAATCTGCGCTGGGGGCCGTTGCGACTGCCCCTCAAACGGCAGCACTGGATTGGAGTTCGAGAAGTGGGAGGAGTTTACTATAACTTGGACTCCAAACTGCGCAGTCCTCATGCTATCGGGACAGCTGATGAATTGAGGTAGGTGTGCAATGCCAAAAGAGAAATTAGCGGCCAGTTTTAACGCGAAGGTCTGTTTTATCTCTAGCTGTCATTCTGATCATTTCGCAGGAAGTTCTTGCGTCACCAGCTTCGAGGGAAGAACTGTGAACTCCTATTGGTCGTGCCAGAGGAGGTGGAAGTCCACCAGACGTGGAGGTCTGATAACTGATGAATGTTTTGGATTTTTTTTGTTTTGTTTTTGGAGGTATCTCAAGTTCACGCTCAGGAGGGAAATATGGTTCAATCAGGGACCCATTTAAAGAGCAGCAAATGGATTTGCACTCAACCAGTCATGAAAGCACACTGCTCAGACTTTGTTTACACAAACACACACACACACCCCACTGAACTCTTGCCATTGAGACCGGAGCAGCAAAGAACACACACAGGGATATTACAAGACAACGAAACACTACGCAGAGAATTTTGTTTGGTATTTGGGATTCTGATGCATTTTTTTTATATGTTGATTATTTCTTTTACTTTGTACTGTTTTCTGACTTGAAAGTGAGAGGTTATGGAATTCTTAGTGATGTGTTCTCCTCGTGCATCACCTGTCATCCTCACTTCTTCTCTCTTTCCATGTGATTTCCCGTGCATCCATGTGATCGTTTGAACTGTCCGCCACACATTGCAGGTCACCGTAAAAAGGTGTTTGTTCAACCAACTGGATTTTTTGAACACGGGTGCATATGTACTTATTTAGTGCATGTAATTAAGATTTAGAGAAGGAACACCCGTAGCCCGTGCTTAACCGTTCCCTACACATTTAATGGCATTGTGACAGATGAGATGTTTCCTGTGTATCACAGTACAGCATGGCACCACAGTAATTGGATGTTTTGTGTTAGTTTCCTATAACATAAATTACCAAACGGTCACTTCTGTTAATCTCTTACCTTAAATGGCTGCTCTCGACACTCTTTCTTGTTAAACGGTTAAGGTTAGACTTGTTGAATCCTAGACTACATGTAGGAAAAATAGAACAGGTGAGTGTTGGTAGTTAAAAAAAAGAAAGAAAAAAGTCAACTGCCAAAAATGAAAGTTGTATGTACTTTTACATAGCAAATGCTAATAGTTTGAAAAGTCTCTAAAATCTTTCAAGTTAATTCATCTTTGATTGATATTGGATTAACATGGCCTTAAACTGTTTACAGAGGGAGCAGATTACAACAAAGGGAAGTTTAATACATCTCAGGTTATCTTCAGATCCTCCTCAGATTCAGTTTCACCTATTAAAAGCCAACACATATGTGTAAAACACTTCAAAAAGATTATAGACACTCAAATCAGATACTGCAACTTAAAAGGAACATTCCACATGTCCATACACAGGGTGCTTTGTAATACTGTAGAGACGAATAGATTCTTTTGCCATGACAATCTAAATCCCCACGTCCCTTTTTAAGGGAGATTGGGACATGTGCTCATGCCATTGTTTTCCATTCGAATAAAATGCTTATGATGGCACTTTATGTATGATGTAAAATGTGCTGTGACATCATTAAAAATGTCTTTGTATGTATACAATGTAGTGGTGCATCATCTATCTTGTTCACATCATCTACACTACTGTTAAAACGTTTTTGGTGGTCTTATCTTCTTTCTTTTGAAAGAAAGGAGCACTGTTAAATTGATCAAAGGTAAAGTTTTCTTTTTTGAATAAATGCTGTACATTTGAACTTTCTGTTCAGCCATGAATCCTGACAAAATACAGGGGATACAACACCTGGTTTTAGACCACAAAAATGTATTTGGATGGTATAGGACATCCTTTTGCAGCCAATACAACATCTATTAATCTTGGAAATAGCAGATGCAAGTCCTTGACTGTGGCCAGAAAGATTTTGAGCCATTCCTCTTCCAGCATAGTGCCAGGTCATTGTGTGATGCTGGTGGTGTGACTCGCTCCCCCCAAAAAACACCACAAAAGTGGTTCAATAAAATCCAGATCTGTCGACTGTGCAGGCTATGGAAGATGTTCAACTTCAATTCATGTTCATCAAACCATTCTGATACCAGTCTTGCTGAATGTATTTGTGCATTATCATGCTGATTCATGGGCCCACCTTCAGGGTACAATGTTTAAAACAGTGGGCGCACATGTTCCTCCAGATAGGTACTGTAGTATTTGACAGTGACATGCCCTTCAAGCACAGTAGGGAATGACATAATATTGCTGCCCAAACCATCACTGTTCCAGCCCTATTCTTGAATCTGGGCAGCAACAGTCCAGGTGTTAAGCCTCTTTGGGGATTCTCCACACTGTAACTCCCATGTATGTGGGATAGACACGTCAGAGGTGGACTCGTCAGAGAACAAAATATGTTTTACACATTGTCTACAGCCCAAGCCATCCATTTCAGACATCATCCTCTTGTGTTGACAGTTACTCTGCTGTGCTATTGCTCTACTTATTTTACATTCCATTAATAAGAGTAGAGTGGGAAGGAATTAGTAAAGACTGGCCAATAATATTACAATAATAGTAACTATAAAATAGGCATAATTACGTCTAACATCAAACCCTAATCCTAACCTAACCATATAGTAAGAACATGTAGTTAATTAATATTACCTAGTACTTAAACTCACCTAAAAGATTATTATTAGGAACACCTGTTCAGTTTCTCATTCATGCAATTATGTAATCAACCAATAACATGGCAACTGCTTCAATGCATTAAGGGGTGTGGTCCTGGTCAAGACAATCTCCTGAACTCCAAACTGAATGTCAGAATGGGAAAGAAAGGTGATTTAAGCAGTTTTGAGAGTGGCATGGTTGTTGGTGCCAGACGGGCTGGTCTGAGTATTTCAAAATCTGCTCAGTTACTGGGATTTTCACGTACAACCATTTCTTGGGTTTACAAAGACTGGTGTGAAAAGGGAAAAACATTCAGTATGCGGCAGTCCTGTGGGCGAAAATGCCTCGTTGATGCAAGAGGTCAGAGGAGAATGGGCCGACTGATTCAAGCTGATAGAAGAGCTACTTTGACTGAAATAACCACTTGTTACAACCGAGGTATGCAGCAAAGCATTTGTGAAGCCACAACACGCACAACATTGAGGCGGATGGGCTACAAGTGCAGAAGACCCCACCGGGTACCACTCATGAGAACATGGATCCATCATGTCTTGTTACCACTGTGCAGGCTGGTGGTGGTGGTGTAATGGTGTGGGGGATGTTTCCTTGGCACACTTTAGGCCCCCACAGTCACCAGATCTCAACCCAATTGAGCATCTTTGGGATGTGGTGGAACGGAAGCTTCGTGTCCTGGATGTGCATCCCACAAATCTCCATCAACTGCTAGATGCTATCCTATCAATATGGGCCAACATTTCAAAAGAATGCTTTCAGCACCTTGTTGAATCAATGCCACATAGAATTAGGCGAAAGGGGGTCAAACACAGTATTAGTATGGTGTTCCTAATAATCCTTTAGGTGAGTGGAAACGTATAATTACACTGCAACTGGGATACGTTAAAAAATAAAGTGTAACCGCCATATTAGAATTATTTCTGAATGATCATGTGACACTGAGGACTGGAAAATTCGGCGTTGCCATCACAGGAATAAATCACTTTTTTGAAATATATTAAAATAATGATTTAAAATTGTAATTATATTTCACAATATTATTTCTGATCAAATAAAGGCAAATAGCATAAGAAACATTGTTTTCTTTGAGGTTGAGGAGGTATACATCTTTGGATAGGAGAGATTAGATTCGAGTTGCCCATGGCATGGATACGCTTGTAATACACATTCATGCCTTTCTTTTCTCTATTTCATCATTTGAATCTGAAAAGCAGTATCACATACATCCTGAGTGAAACAAAACTAATGTGGTACTGGTTTATCCAACCAACAGTGGCGAAAGTCAATCCGCTGTGAGGCGCGCGGGGGCGCGCTGCACGCTGCAGATGTGTCGCAGATTTAAAAAGTCACCGTACTCTTCTAGAACAAGGAAATGGAGCAGTGCAAAGAAGAATAAAATACTGAATTGTAAACAAGGCAGCGGAAGAGAGTGGACGTGTGCAGCCATTATAACTGTGCATGGGATTTGTACATCACGTTTATTTTAACAACAAGAAGGAAAAATACAAATTGACAGCTACTTCATTATTTTTTTAGAGGAATAACTTTACCAATGGAACTGTCGGCAATCGGCGAGCAAGTGTTCGCTGTGGAATCAATCATTAAGAAAAGACTTAGAAAGGTAAGTGGCATGTAGCTGTGCGTTTGTTGACAGTTAAAATCCGTGCCCGCAGCACACATACAACATGTTAAAGGGGCGAGGACTCACACACGTCTGCTTACAACAACGTGGAAGTATGTGTAGCCTAATAACTTGATGATGACGCATGTCGCAGAGCACGCTTTTGGAATTGGGTGGCGATCCTAGACTACGCAGTTTTATTTTCCTTTGGGGATCTATAACTAACGTTTATTGTAAAGTTTGGCCATTTTGATACCGAAATATGAGATTTATTTGATCTTAAAACAGCATGTGAGGTTATTGGTGTGAGCAGACGTAGGTCTCAATTACTTATAATTAACAACTAATATTAAAATATGCATTCTGCTTAAAATGACGCGCGTTAAATTACCGTTACTTTTATCCTCATATGTAAAATATCAGGACTGTATTCAAATAAAAAGGAGGAGCTGTTAGTTTATGGGTTGTCCCTTCATAATTCTTATGACGCAAGCATATAATTACGTAATCACACACGTTCGAGACAAAGAACAAAACAATCATTCGAAATGTGTAAATAAACATTTTATTAATGTAAACTGATGATATAATATCACCAGATATTTTAATATAATGAAAATATTAATTAAGCATTGATTTATATTTATTTATGTTTAAGGGTCATGTGGAGTATTTATTAAAGTGGAAGGGCTGGCCTCCAAAGTAAGTGTTTTATTATTATTATTATTATTATTATCATTATTATTATCATTATTAGCCATTTTTAAATAAAAAGGAAAATGACTGAATAAGCTTTATTTCTAAATGTCTCAAATGATCCTTTTGTGTATATTTTTCTTTAAAATGTATTTAGTTTTTACAATCATTTCTCTAGCAGCTGTGGTATTTATTTACATCTCTTGTCAATGTGAATATGTGACCTTTTTTTAATGTTTTGTTTTTTTTTAATAATTTCAAAGGTACAGCACATGGGAGCCAGAGGAGCACATCCTAGACCCTCGACTGGTTGTAGCATATGAGGAAAAGTAAGCAATTATAAAAATGAAACATCCTTGTTCTTTGACCACTAGTATTTGAATTCATCAAACTGCATTTTCAAATTGCTCACAGAGAACAGAAAGACAGATCAGTGGGGTGGCGTAAAAGAGGGCCAAAACCAAAAAGACTCCTCGTGCAGGTAATGACCCCTAAACATCTTCATTTCTGTGAGTGTTTCCCTGCTTACCTGTCATTAAAGGCATGTCTATCCACATATCTCTGTCTCAAAGAGGAACATTTACGCAATGGATCTACGCAGCGCACACAAAGGTTCAGAGAAATCTTCAGGGCATCTGCCGCTCTCGTTGACTCGGTCTCTTGACCCAAGGTTCCAGTCCTCAGGCACTTGTATATATCGACGATTAGCCCACCACAAGAAAAAGAAGAAAACATCCAGAGAGACTTTTGAGGAAGAATGGGACAGAAGGTATGAAGAAGAAGATGATGATGATGATGAGGGGGTTATGGAGGAGGAAGAGGAGGAGGACACAAGACCAGAAGGAACTAAAACTGGCAGCAATACTTTAAAAAGTAAGTATGCTAGTTGGCCAAAGCGCAGACATAGGCAAGACCGCAGTGTTTTTTGTCAGCCTTACAGAAAAAACTGTCCCAACATTAGTTGACATCAAGCAAACAGAACATCAAGCAAACAGTTCTTTTTGAACAGATCCATAAACTAGTAAGCAGGGGCATCATGCAACTATGTTTTTTTAAAGGGGTGGTTCATTATTATTTCACTATTCTAACTTTAGTTAGTGTGTAATGTTGCTGTTTGAGCAAAAAAAAAAAAAAAAACATCTGCAAGGTTCCAATGCTCAAAGTTCAAACAAATGGAGATATTTGCTTTTAAAGAAATAAGGACTACAACAAACGACTACATGACATTCCTCCCGGGTTAGTCAGTGACATCACCAATCCTAAAATTTACATAAACCCCGCCCCCGAAACACGATTTATTGATTATCAATGCAGAATATGCTAATCAATGACTTGAAGATAACTACACATAAGTTACATAAATTCATAAACTAACCATTCAGAAATGTCCTGTTGCTTCTACATGTTGTCACTTCTTCTTGACTATCTCCATCTTTGTGAAAAAAAAGATGGATTTTTGAGATGGAAAATTTCAAAAAGTCTTTGAAATTTTCAGTGGATGTCTGTGAGGTAAAAGGACTCTGTTGAAGCTCCGCCCTCTGTGCTACGAGCAGCAGCTCATTTGCATTTAAAGGAACAGACAAAACGGTGCGTTTTTGCTCACCCTTATAAATGTACAATTTTTACATGCTATATAAAAATATTTGTGGTGTTTTAAACTAAAACTACACATACACACTTTTCGGGGACATCAAAGACTTATTTTACATCTTGTGAAAAATGCTTTATACCACCCCTTTAAGTTACTTAAATGCATTATACCACCCCTTTAAGTTAAGAAGGGCATCAGTGGCAGTCTTGGTTCAATTGTAATACTTTTCGCCAAATAACAGGGTTTAACTCTTGTAAGTGAAATAAAACTGTTGTAATTTTCCTATTGTAAAGTAAAATAATACAATTTAGATTTATTTTACAGTACAGTTGTATTGCAACAATAGTAATACTGTATATTACTGTCATAGGGATACTGCTACTACCACTAATAATATAATTCAAGTATATTCATCATTAATATTATAATAATATTTATTATTAAATGTACAAGTTGTTTTACTCTGTTAACTTTTTACTCTGTTCAATTTGGACACTGAAAATTGGTAAATTAATTATGGGTATTAATATACAGACATGCTAAAAGTGACATGTAGTGTGCAAATTTGTAATATTTTTTTAATTAAATTTAAATTACAGTAAAAATACTTTATTTGCTGAAAAACAAAGTGTGGAATGTTGGACACTTCATGCACTCAACTGTCGCAGCTTTCCTTACATAGCAGAGGGACGAGGCAATCAGACTCTGATGCTGCATGACAAAATAACCTAAAATTCACTCTAGACGGTAGCTAAACAGCCACACAGGTGTTTAAAAGATTAACTTAAAGGAGTATTTCACTTTTAAAAAAACGTTTGCTGACAATTTACTCACCCCCATGTCATCCAAGATATCCATGTCTTTCTTTCTTCAGTCGAAAAGAAATTAAGGTTTTTGAGGAAAACATTCCAGGATTTTTCTCCATATAATGGACTTCAATGGGAACCAAACGGTTCAAGGTCCAAAAGACAGTTTCAGTGCAAATGATTCCAGACGATGAATAAGGGTCTTATCAAGTGAAACGATCGCTCATTTAAAAAAAATAACAAAGCCTAGCTCTGTTCTGTGATGCGCTGTCCTGTTCGAATTCGTTCACCAAAATGAACGAACCTTTTTTCGTTCGTTGAATCAACAAAATGACAAGAAAAAAGATTCGTTCATTTTGATGAACAAGTTCGAACAGGAGAGTCACGAACGTGCGTCACAGAACAGAACAAGGCGAGCGTTTGAGCTTATAAAACTTAAACTTCTTTTTTTTTTTTTTTTAAATGACCGATCGTTTCGCTTGATAAGACCCTTATTCATCGTCTTGAATCGTTTAAAGCCCTTTGAACAGCTTGCAGTTTGTACTGAAACTGTCTTTTGGACCTTGAACCGTTTGGTTCCCATTGAAGTTCATTATATGGAGAAAAATCCTGGAATGTTTTCATCAAAAACCTTCATTTATTTTCAACTGAAGAACGAAAGACATGGATATCTTGGATGACATGGGGGTGAGTATCAGCACACAAAAAAAATTAAAAGTGAACTACTCCTTTCAATGTCTAAAACAGGATCTCTTACAATACTTTATTGTTCTCAATCATGATTCTTAAACATTTATATCACATGAAGGTGTAAATATGTACAAATTCTACTCTGTGTTTCAGAGCATGTCAGGAGGGGAGCCTGGAGTCCAACCACTGAATCAGAGGCAATGACAATATCTCCTTTATCTGTGGACTGGAGTCCAGTTATGGGCCCAGAGGAGGTAACTGTGACAGATATCACCATCAACTCACTGACTGTGACTTTTAGAGAGGCTTTGGTAGCAAGGGGGTTCTTCAGGAGCTGGGAGCTGGAGATCTGACATTACAGAGACTGAGGATGGTGTGAGCCATCAGAAGGAGAAAGGGAATCGGTACATCCATTTGTTTTTTTTTTTTTTTTTTTTTTGCTTTGATGATGCGCTTGCACAACTTCCACCACTGTTTCAGACTACATTTATTTGCACTATTAGTTCTAATCAAGTTAAAACATTTCAGGATGGTGATTGCAATCAATCACAGTGACAATGATTAAGTACAATCCTGATAGTATTATGAGATTTTGAGGCCATGAAACAAATCTGATTTTGTCATGTTTTGTAGTTTACAGATAAGCTTGATTTAGTCTGGTCAAGTACTAAGATTAAATGATAATGCTGGTACAGAGTTATTTGCACAACTAAATATTCTGAATAGCCAGTCTATCACAAATATCCATACATATACGTGATATACTTGGTCAACAAATATATTATTCTAATCTTGACCTAAAATTGCACACCTCGTTTGCAGTAAATAAAAATTAGTGGTCTCCCAATACTTAAAATCTTTTAGACTTAATAAACAATATTGTGGTGTGAAAGTTTTGTCATTGCACAATGTAGTTCTTTTAGTGTGTGTGTATGAAATAAAGTTGCATTTTTTTTCCAACACTATATTGCTTGCTAATATCTCACATCTATCACAGTGTTTGTGCAATTTTTGACACGTTCCTTGGTCCTCTTGTGTATATTCTTGCCAAGTATGACTCTGCACCATCTTGCACAGTTGTCTACAATGTTAGATTTAACTTGACTGCTGTTAATCTTTGGTGTTATTTTAGTCCAAGATGATAACTGAGACCTGGAGACATTTTTCTATATTGAGGTGAATGTATATTTAGCCTCGATGAATGTCCATCTCTGGAAGCTCAACGGTTTAGTATCTGACTTCATGTGACCTGTATACATTTGATAAACTGTCTGTGCCAAATGTTTGTGGTTGCTTTTTGCTATTCAGAGTATTTGCACTTTAAAATGGAAAACTTGGTATTATGATGTCAAAAATAAATAAAACTTTGGTGTAACTGTATCATCAAATGCTTTTTTTTATATTTAATCATCGATGCGTGGTACTATGGATTAATGAACTTTGTTTGACATTGTTTTAGCTTCACTTCTACAATGTAAGAATTACACCACACCAAAAGCCAATTATTTTTGAATGGTGCAAACATATTTTAATGTACAATTAAATAATTGGCAAAACGTCTGACCACCATAATAAATTTAAAAAAGAACAGCAAAACAAACAAACAGTAAAACTACTGAAGTCAGAGCAACAGTTTTTGCTCCTCTCAGCAAGCACCAAAGTGTTAGCAAGAGAAAAGTGGTCAAAACTAGGATCCATAAAACTATACGATTGGTTTTCCAGTCCGTCTTTTAGAAAAGAATAACAAAATAAACTTACAGATCAAAGCAAATTTGCCATGGTTTGTAGTACAGTGAATCATAATCTGTATACCTCTATACACACTCACAAGACATTTCCTCAAAATGCCATATTACTCATTATTCCCAAAGATGGATGTATATGGTATAACAGCAGTGTCATGTTGCATCATCAATATCTTTGAAAAAGTGTAATTCAATATCAACTCTTGAATTGGCTTCAAGTTTTTTATTCTCAAAAATAAAATTAAATATATCTATATATCTATATTTATAAAACAAATATTGTTCTCCTCATTTTTATAAAATAAGTCTTAACGCCGTATTGCCTCTGTTGTGTGTAATCATCCAGCACCCCTTTAACCAAGAGAAAACAATTCATTTATAGGTTATTGTCATATACCATCAAAAAGACCATCCACTCCCTTATCTAAAACTATTTGTCTCTTCCTTTCTGTATTTGTGCACAGGATGAAGATATGACAGACAGTGTTGGTTTAGTACACACTAATGAAATCCTTGTAATGAAGTAAACATACAAAGGCGCATTGGTGCTTGTCTGATTTGAGCTCCATTTATGTATAAAAATCTCACAGGTTAAGTGTAAGCTGCCCATAGTTCTTCAGCTCAAAGCATCTTGAATCAAGAAGAAACATCTGTCCATTTACCTCCATTCACACATATGTGTATATATTTTTACAAAGACATTTCATTTTCAGTAATTTATTTTCAGTTCAGAATTTTCTTTATACATTAAGGAGATCACTTAAATCCCAAAGTTCAGAACACTAGAGATGCGCGTGAAGAGTCAGAACAACAATTCCTTACTGGAGAGACGGGGAGAAAAAAAAGAGGACTTGGAGTCGATGGAAGAGGGTAGTTCAAGGTGATTATTTGCAAAATCCATAATCCCTTATCAGCATTTGGTCTTCTCAGTAGAGATCGCTGCACTGTCCTACGCACACATGTAGTATTAATCAGGTTCCATTACTGAGGAGGAGGGCATTGTGAAAACATTCATAGGACAGGGTGTATGAGGGTGGGAAAACTGCGACATGCATAGGAGGACAGATATTTCCCATGCAACAAGCCATCAGAAAACACATTATCGTTTCCCAAACACTATCAAAACTTCATTTAGGCCCCAACCACCCCTCAAAAAAGCAAATAAAAAAAATAAAAATAAAGAATATAAATTCATCCATTTATAGTCAGGTTCTATCACTAACAAAAATATACTCTTCAAGAATTGTAGGAGATTCAAATAGCATATGCCATCAACTGTCCAAAACAAAAGAACAAGAAAATATCTATTAGCCAACCAAAAGAGCTGAGTAATAAATAACAGTTATTACCAATGCCATCATAATCTTTACATTTGTGAGAATAATTCTAATACTCTCCAAAACTGATGACATTTTTGACTATTTAGAGGAAAAAGAAAACAAAATAGTCAATTTTGTTTACGCATTTTGCTTTTTAATTTCATGCCACTTTTAAAATCTTAAAAAATATCTATAAAAAAGGCAGACTTCTTCACCCCAAAAATATTTCTGGTCATATACCAAGAGGAAATATTTCCCATCCCTTAACCCAAACCCCTTTGAACACAATTGGCAAAAAATATATTTATATATTTTTATATATTAACAGCAATAACTTACCATTCATTTAACTTAATTTGTTGACTTGCACATGTAGTATCTCCCATAGGAAGTTCAGTTCTTTTCAATTACATAAGAAAAATATTAAATAATAATAATAATAGTAATAATAATACTATCGATGACAACCTTTGTAAATCCTAGATCTGCTACCAAAATCTGGCAATCAGGACAGTTCTTTGAGACCTGCAACACTACATCAAATCTAACGAGTGATTCATGTTCGAGCCCATATCTTGGTTATTTGTCATCATGTCATTTGTCCCTTGCCCATGCAAGGCTCCCATCCCACCTAGCTGTGAAAGCATGGCACTCTGGTCTGCTCCAAATGAGCCCTGGTCCATCGCATTAGCCTGTTGCTGCTGTTGGGATGTCAGCGCTTGTTGCTGTGGAGGGTGCACAGCAGCCATGCCGCTGTGATGCTGAGGATGGTGACCTGGGTGAGGCGACCCGGTCTGGGTCTGGGGCGAGATGTGATGAGGTGATGGCTGAGGTTGCAAGCGAGGAGATGGACTAGAGTTTGGCGGCTGTGACTGGGGCCGAGGCGACGGCTGGGGCGAGCGGACTTGGTTGCTTAGGGAATTAGGCAACTGCTGGCCCTGCAAATGGGGAGACTGGGACATCTGTTGCTGGGGCTGCTGAGGGCTCATGGGATTGTGTTGAGCAGGAGATCCTCCTCCAAGGTGTGACTGTTGCTGCTGGAGGATCCGTTGCTGCAAAGCTTGCTGAAGCATGGCCGGAGATTGTGAACCCATAGGAGCGGATTGCATCTGTTGCTGCTGGAGGGAACCACCGCCTCCAGGACCACCATCAGAACCTTGAAGTCCTGCCATAGCACTCTGCTGCTGCTGCTGCATTTGGAGTTGCTGATGCTGCAGTCTCTGTTGCAAAGCAGCTGCAACCTGCTGATGGGACACAGACCCAGAGTAGTTTTGCTGGGTCCCAGGCTGGGTCCCTCCCTGCTGCTGTTGAAGTCCGCCAGGCTGAGGTTGACCAGGCTGCTGTGAGGGCATTCCAGACTGGCCAAGATAACCCTGCTGTTGGGGTGGTTGAGGATGCTGAAACTGAGCATGGTTTCCCATATGTTGCTGTTGCTGCTGCTGCAGTTGTTGTTGTTGCTGCTGCAGTTGTTGTTGTTGCTGCTGCTGCTGCAGTTGTTGTTGTTGTTGTTGCTGCTGCAGTTGTTGTTGTTGTTGTTGTTGTTGCTGCTGCATTTGTTGTTGTTGCTGCTGCAGTTGCCGCCTCATCATTTCTCTGAACTGGGGGGAGATGTTAGACATGTTGGCACCCTGATTGGGCATAACACCTTGTTGTTGTTGTTGCTGCTGCTGTTGTTGTTGTTGTTGCTGCTGCTGTTGTTGCTGTAATGCTGCCATTTGCTGTTGTTGCTGCAAATTTCCACTCATCATAGACCGCTGTTGAAGTTGCTGCTGCTGCTGAAGCTGATTCATTGGCATACTATTTCCTTGTGCCATATGCATACTTCCTTGAACTGCCCCAGGATTGGCATTCATTTGCTGGCCATCGATAATTCCTGGACCTCCACCGGGTCCTCCAGGTACACCCACACCTCCTGCTCCAGGCCCTCCTCGACCAAGGTACCTAGGAGCTCGTTGCCTGATAAAGGTTGCCATGAGCTGAGGGTTTGAACGTAGTATATTCAGGACTTGCTGTTGTTGATGGGGAGAGTTGGGTAACCTTAAGGTTTTTACGAGTTCCATTAAGGCAGCCTGAGAGTGACTTCCAGGGCCAGCGCCTGCAAGTGCGGCCCCTCCTTGGCCACTCATCATACCCATTAGACCTGAATGCCCTTGTTGCTGCTGTTGAACAACTGCTTGCTGCTGCTGTTGCTGAGGTGCAACCATTCCTTGCAGACCCATTTGGTTCATTACCCCAGGTCTTTGCTGAGGAGGCATGCCAGGACCAGTCCACGGCTGCTGTGGCGCCCCCTGAAGTTGGGGTGCTCCTTGCTGGGGCTGCTGCAACTGGACTTGAGGGAGCTGAGTCTGAGCTCCTGGCTGGTGCTGCTGCATGCCTGTTGTAATCATTCCCTGCTGCTGATCCATGTGAGTTCGTGCCACTGCTGCTTGTGTCTGGGATGGAATTCCCTGAGGTCCAACCATTGCACCTGCAGGAAGGTTCATGCCCATCTGGCTTTGTGTCTGGGGACCCTGATGCAGGCCATGTGGAGGCATCATGCCAGGAGCTTGGTTTCTTTGCAGGATCTTTTGCTGAGCCATTTGCCGTTGAGTCTCTGCGACTCGTTGAATTTTCATGGCAATTTCAACTGCAGCAGGTGGAGGGCCTGGTTGCTGATGTTGCTGCAATACAGGCTGCCCTAGACTCGACTGTTGCTGTTGAGGGAAGCTGCCTGGCACCATTCCTGGCTTTCCCATTGACTGAGAGAGTGGAGAGGAGCCTGGAGGTCTTTGTACATATGGAGGAAGGTTGTTGGCATGCTGAAGATGCTGAACAGATGTTTGCTGCTGTTGCTGTGGGATCATGGGCTGTTGCAGGGAGTTCATCATCCCACCACTACCAGGCATTTGCTGGTACTGATGGGCCATCCCTGCCAACTGCTGTTGCTGCTTTGATGGAACACCTCCAACCCCAGGTTGAGTTGCTGGAGGCTGGCATAGCTGAGTAGGCGTCTGTGGGGTAGGAGGCTGACTGCTTGGTGTTGGTGTGCTCGGACCAGTAGTACTACTGTTCCCAGGAGATGGCAGCCCACCATTGCCTCCTGGAAGCTGCTGGCCTGTCCTTTGCATGCTGGCCATTCTTCTACGCACCATCTGGGCCTGCTGTAGTCTGTGCTGGAGCTGTTGTTGTCGCAGTTTCTGCTTGATGTTGAGGCAGAATGGCACAGGACACTTGTTCTCTTGGCAGTGTTTTGCATGGTAACAACAGAGTGCAATGAGCTGCTTGCAAATAGGACAACCACCATTGGTTTTGCGCTTGCAGCCTTTGGTATGTTGAACTACACGTTTCATTTTCTGACAAGATGGAAGTGAGCAGTTGGCATTGCGGCACTGGCAAGCATGCACTAGAGACTGGATGCACCGCTGAATACTGAGACGCCGTGAGTCTCCAGGATTCTGCGTTGAGGAAGCAGCTTGACTGTTGCTTTCGTCGTCCAACCCTAAGCCCAGTTTCTCCATCTTGTGCTCGTGACCTTTTGTATTGTAGCAAGTGATGCAGAGATCAAAGTCCTGTGGAAAAGTTAATAAAATCGTTAAATGGCAAAGTTTTTGAACTGTACAAAAGGCATAAAAAAATGGCATAAGATCACATCGTAAATCATTACTATCTTCCCACTCCCCCCATTCTATTGTCCTCACCTCACACACAGTGCAATGGAAGCGAGTTTCAACATGGTGCTTGCACACATTGCAGGTATACACAAAGCGGTCCTGGCTCTGGTTGTGCAGTTCAACCAGCATGCACATAGTGCTCCATTTGGAGCGCCGCATTGAAGAAAACTCCAGGTGTTTATCCCGTGCAAGTGTTAGGAAGGCATCACGACCATCCATCAAATCACACGCCATCAAAGGATCCGTGTCAACAATGGGTAGGAGAGCATTGGAATTGGGTGCTGCAATCAGCCGGATAACAAAGAACACCTTGGAAAAAAAATGTTGGATTAAAAAAAAAAAAAAAAAATGTATGAAATATGTTGAACAAAGTACAAAAGATCCCGATTAGGATGCCACCACACTTAACAAACGCTAAATGTTTGACCATCAAAGCTGAAATCAGGCATTAGTCTTCTTCATACCTCTTTGTGCTTTTCCATTGTGGCATAGAGTTTCTGTGAAAGGTCATTGGACACATTTGGCATCCCCGGCTTCTTTTTGTTGGCTCGGCTTAAACTGCTCTTGTTCTTGCTTGTCTTCTTGTTGTTCTTTTTCTTGGCATTTTTGCTGTCACCTTTTGTTGTCTGAAGAAACAGAGAAGTTTTGTTGTGTGAAAGAACTTTTAGAAAGTAACAAAACCTCAAGACTAATAGCTTAAAGACTAACATCAACACTCTCATTGGACGTGCTGTTCTCCTCCCTCTTCCTTTCCTCCTCTTCTTGCTCCAGTTCTTTTATACTCTCTTCAAGCACATTGGGCCAAAAATCACCCTCAAAATAGGGCAGTTCTTTGGCGCTGGTGAGACGATCCTCTGTTGCCTGTTTGAAGATGTCCTGTAAAAAAAAAAATATTTTTTAAAATAATGTATATATATATATATATATATATATTAGTACATATGTATTGTATGTATTATATATATATATATATATATATATATACACACACACACACACACACCCATACTGAAAAAATATACCGGAACTTTTTTTTTTTCAACTTTTCAAATGTTTTTTCAATGTTTACAAGAACACAATGTTTAAATTGTACCTTATAGTCATGCACGATGCGCTCTGCTACCGCTTTATCCAGCATCTTTTTATACCACTCCTGCAACCGCTTGGGCTTGGGTATCTTCTGGTCTGCAGGGTGACAATGGAAGATGTAATCATCTCCTTCACTAGGAGGGCAAGCCCAGATGTGTCCTGTGGTAAACCTAAGAAAAACAAAATCCAAAATGTTTTAATTCAAAATTTCACAAAGCAAAAATAGTGAACATCTATTAAAGTAAAAATACTGCTGAAACAGTAGGACAGGGGAGGATCATCTTACCCTTGTTTTTTGACATACTCCAGATACCCTATAAGAATCTCATGGTACACGCCTGTTCTCAGACAGCGTGGCTGAAAGAAGTGGACACTGTCCAGGTAGGATATGTAAACTCGTCTAGATGATTGAGGATAAGAAAGGAAAAAAAGTTTAGCAGGAAATAAAAACAGTCCCATCAAATAATAATAATAAGAGCAATTACATATGTCTGACCTTTGATTAGGGGGTGGACAATCTGAGCCATACTCTTGCACGTGCATCCCAAAAAAGCAGACATCAACACCATCAACATCCTCAAATGCAAATAAAGCTTTCGTTCTGTATGGGAAAGACTCTGACATCTCTCCACTATCGACAAACCTGTAAAAAAGGAATCCAAGTAGACAAATAAGCAATGCTAAAAGTCTGCATGGGAGGTATATTACATTATTAATCAGAGTAAACAAATAAAGGTTCACAGGAAGAATATAAAATTACAAAATGTGTATTAAAGTAACTATTTTTGAAATGTCCAACAGATAAATGTGTTGTATTAAACCAATGTCTGTTCATAATCATCCTGTCTGACCTAGACTTCATGCCTGGTTTGACTTCCACCACTTTGTCCGAGACATGAACAACACGAACAGTAACTTCACCAGACTCTGGGTGATTATGTCGCTTCAGAAAGTCATTAACCCGTGTTTCCAAGTACATGCCTAGTTTGGTCTGTGGAAGCCCTGAGGAAAAGAAAAAAGAAAAGAAAAAAAAGCCATTTAATTATTTATTAGTGAGAAGAAAATACATGGAGAAAATTGAAGTTAATAAAACACTGAAATGGAACCACATACTTTTAGCAGCATATTTATTCTCTTTACGGGTCTTGTTAGACTTCTTCAGACAACCATCACATACAAAGCTAAATGAGGGAAAAGAGAAAAAGGTAGGACACATGTTGGTGTTAGAAACACCTTTCAAAATCCACAGTCAGTATTCAATTTCAGTTCAGAAAACTCACCCTAATGGCCATATAGTGTCATGGTGTAAAACACAGATCTGATGCATCTTCCGACCACAATCCATACATTCCACAAATCTGCAGAGAGAGAAAAAAAAAAGTATTAATCCTGATAATTTTGCTGAGATCAAAAAACTTTAAATAAAGTTTATATGGACTTACAGCTCAGGGTCGAGTGTGTCATTTTTCTTCTTTTCAAACTGATCCTTGTTGATCGATCTAGAAATATATGCATATTGTAGCACAATTAAAACAAGACACGACTATGTATGCAATATGAAAAATCTCAAAGGGTGCATCAATAACAAGTTTAAGACTACTTGTTGACTGAATTAATTTCCATTAAAGTTATTACATTAAAAGTTATTACCCCTTTACATGGCAATTCACAAACATTTTCGGTGTTCAGACCGCAATCGGATGGCACTTTACTACATAATGCATTCTGAGTCCCTATCATTTACACCTGATTTTTATGGTTTGGATGGATACAACCCCATTCTAGGGGGGGCAAGGGACAGATTCTGGACACATTCAATGGATTAAATGCTTGTCCTTTTTTACTTGTGTAGTTGAATGCAGATAATAAGTTACTTTAAAAATTAAAATGACCCGTCACGGTCAATTTAAAATTTTCAATTTCAATTTTCAATTTCTATAAATTTTTTGTCAATCAGTAATATTTTTTAACTCTAGGTATTTTTAAAGTGACATTTTTTGCCTTCCTAAAATGTACTACTTTTGTTAAACAGTTTGTAGATAACAGAAAATTCAACAGAAACCTCTGATGTTATATGTAAGAGTTGTTCTTTTATAACGGATAAGTGCAGTAGGACCTCTATACAATCAAACGTAATATGGGTGGGGGTCTTGTTACTGCAAACACTAGACAGATTAGACAAACTTGTTTTCTTGTTATACAGCTGAAAAGAAAAAAAAAAGATCATGCTGTAATAAAACACTAATTAAAAATGGTGTGAAATGGTGAGACACTTACGTTTGAGGTTGGGATGGGTCATCTCCCAAGGACACAGTCTCCCCCTGGATCTCATTGAAACACTTTTCGCAGAAGTGGTACCTGTCAGCAAGAAGCCCATATTTTGGTGAACTACACCATGCGCCAACACCACAGCCAATCACAGAGAGGCAACGCGGAGGTAGCCACCAATCAGTGCAGGACAAGGCAGGGCAGGCAGGCCAAAGGGGGAGCGCAGGACAGGGTCATCGCCAGAGGAGCCAATCATGATGCAGGATTTTTGAGCAGGGGTTTTGAGCAGGGAGGGGTTTAGGTGCAGATGATTGGTCAGATGAAAGCAGGCGATAGCAGACAACAAATGGCAAAGTACAGAGAAGAGGACAAGGGTTGACAAAGAAAAACATTAGACAAGACAGAAATGAATGGATAAGGAGGGAGACAATAACAGACAAGCAGAAAGCCAAAGCAAAGCACAGATTAGCATTTACATGTATAATGAGAAAACCATTATAGCAAAACTGGAGCAGAATCAGTTGCGAAGGGTGTTGTGACTTATGGACACATGAGCACAATAAACAAGAACAAAAAGACCGTAGCAACAATGTCAAGCAAACAGGCATTTTAAAGGTGCTCTTTCAAAAGATAAGTATTACTCCTTTTAAGTCATGGTTACACTGATCAGTGTCAAGTCGTACATATTGTAAAATTCATGACAAAGTGGTCATATCATAAAATATACAACTCTTTCACATACAATTTTTCTAGGTACTATGAAGACACATTACCTTATGACTAACCACGTTTAGGTCAACCAGCCCAAACAGGCCATTTAATTTAAAGGATCACAAAAAGAGTGAAATTTACTATTTTTGATTCAAGAAACGTTGACAAATTTTAAGTGGAGTAAACAATATATATAACAATAATATTTGTGTATGAAATTTTGTTCAAACATTAATATCCTTTGTCAATCACATGCTTGTTTAAGTGATAAACTGCACTACTTAGGGTTGTTTTCAGAGATGGTAACAGGCTACACAATGATTGCACTGGTGCTGCAGAGGTTGAAAATTTTGTAACACGGATGTTTTATGCTATGTGCGCAAAAAAAAAAAAAAAAACTGTTTGTTACAGCCCTGATGATCCCCATTAAAACATTTTAGGAGCACACTTTAAAATGCCAGGTCTTTTTACACACATAGGATTTTACAATGCAAAGGACTGATTGGTGGAAAAGGTGGGATAAGAAGACACTCTTATCAACCGTGGTGCAAGTCACTTCACTTTATGTGGCCAGGTACAACGGAAAAACAGCTGTTTCACATGCATATGTAATAAATACTAATTTCACGGGTCGTTCAAATATATATGCTTGCGTGTCCGTTGATGTTGGCCTCAGTCGTAAGTTCCTTACCTGTTCTGATAACTAAAGTAAGCAGCATCTCGTGGTATAGTGCATAGCTGCTTCCCATAGCAGCACAGAGTTTGGGGGGAAAACTCAAACTGTGAGAGAAAACAAAAAAACATCTGGTGAACATGATGAAAATGCAGAGAACACAGTGAAAATAAAGAGAACACTGACAAATACCTGTATTTGTAAAAACAGAGCATAGAGCAAGTAAATATTGTTATGAAAGACCTGAAGTTGATTTGACACAAAATCCCATATTATGACAAACTCTTTGGATGAGAAAGCTAATTTGATTAGCTCAACGCCTATGGTATATAAAGCATTAAGGAAAATACTTATTTATAAAACAGGCATCATGTTAGAACGACGATTTAATGTGTGCAAACACTCTTGCACCCTCTTTTTTACCTTTCTCCCACAACAGTAGCCAAGGCTCTGCATGACAGGGTCGATCTCCTGCTCAAACACTTCCGCCAGCTTAGAGCAGTACTTGTAGACTCGGGATGTCTTGCGGTTATACAGCCAGGCGTTGTTAAACATGAGCCAGATGTCATCCACATACTGCCACGGTTCTTGATACTGGCCCGTGTCGAGCTTCCGTTTTATAGTAGACAAGTCCATAGGATTCTTCACAATGTCAAAATAGTCCTGTGATTTGCCATAAGTGACAACGTTAAATAGCAGTTCAGTAGAATCGTACATTTACATAAATAAGAGAATGACCTTAACATTTAGAAAATGTATTGATATCCGAAAAATTATGAACATTCAATATATAAACACTACCATTCAAAAGTTTGGGAGGAAAGTAATAAAATAAATTAATACTTTTATTCAGCAAGGACACATTAAACATTGATTATGTTACGAAATATTTCTATTTCAAAATATTTGTAAATGTTGTTATTTGGAATTATTAAGAAACGTTTTATTGAGCACTGAATCAGTATATTAGAATGATTTCAGAAGGATCAAGTGACACTGAAAACTTGTGTGCTTTGCCGTCATCAGAATAAATTGGATTTGAAAATTTATGTAAAAACTAAATTAAAATTATAATAATGTGACAATATTACTGTTTTTGTTGTATTTTTGATCAAATGAATGCAGCCTTAGTGAGCATAAGAGACCTTTAAAACATTTGTAACTCTTTTGAATGGTAGTGTATAATATTAGTACGGTTTTGTACATTTAACCAAAAACAGCATTATATTAAGGTGGCTATGCACCAGAAAGCACACGTACTGGTATTCCCAGCACTAAAGGGTCCACAGGCTGGCGGAAGGGCAGAGACTCGGGGTCCTGGCGATAAAGAGACTCCAGTGTGGGCATCAGGGCCTGTCTCAGCTCTTCTGGTTTAAAAACTAATGAAAAAGCAAGCAAGACACACAGAATTGTTACATAAATTCTTAAATTATTTGAAAAAACACACTTTAAAGGGTTAGTTCACCCAAAAATGAAAATTTTGTCATTAATGACTCACCCTCATGCCGTTCCAAGAACACAGTTTAAGATATTTAAGATTAAGTCTGAGATCTTTCTGTCCCTCCATTGAAAATGTATGTACGATATAATGGACTACTTTGATTTCCTTTTTGGACTAGGACATGCGACATCATTGGGTTAGTTAGAACTTTTTGAAGCATCGAAAAATATATTTGTCCAAAATAACGAAAACTACGACTTTATTCAGCACTGTATTATCCGGTTCTGTTGTCAATCCGCGTTCAGTGACACGAATGACATGAGAAGCTGCTGACAGGTTATCTGGTGCGTCCATGTATTTGGGTTCAAATTAATATGACTGGGCCAAAAAAATGCAAGTCTTCTTCTTTTTTGAAACAAAAGATTGTTTCGTTTACAGCGTACTTCTCCCTCAGACTGTAAATGGAGCTCAGATGCACTGATAACATGTCAGCAGCGTCACTTAACGCGGCTTGACAAAAGAACCGGAAGAGTATACAATGCTGAATAAAGTATGCTGAATAAAAAAAAAAATTTGGACCCACTGATGTCACATGGACTACTTTGATGATGTCTGTATTCCTTTCTGGACAAGGACAGTATATCATACATACATTTTCAATGGAGGGACAGAAAGCTCTCTAAATCTAAAATATCTTAAACTATGTTCCGAAGATGAACGGACTTGGGTCGACATGAGGGTGAGTCATTAATAACATAATTTTCTCTTTTGGGAGAAATAACCCTTTAAGCTACTCAGTGAAATCTAGAGGTACCTAACCTGTGGCACACAAGAAAATATTTCAACTGGCAAAAAAAATAAAAAACAATTCTCTAGATAAACATTTGCCCCGTTTGACATTTCAGTCATTGGTGATGGCTAAAATGTAAGCACAAGCCTCAAATTACAAAGTCATCTGTAGTCAAACAGACAGCAAAACGTATCCATTAATGTGTGAGATTCATTAAATATGTTGTTAAATTGTTGCCTATTATATTTTTATTCTACAGTATAATCACCAAGGAACCAACAGTTGGTTTGTACTGAAGTCAACCCTAGCAGCTAAAATACCCAAGTGGAGTCTAATCATACTTTTCTTTTTGTTGGGGACTCCCGAAGGTGAACTGTGGGTAACTGTGGACCCTGAACCCTCTTCCTCTTCTTTAGGCTCAGTCTTTATCTCTGGCTTTTTGTCCTCCCCAGCTGCAGTGGAAGATGTCTCCATTGGCACACCATCACTCAATGGCTCCTCTTTCTTTATCTGGTAAAAGAAAGCAGTCAATTCACATGGAATGATTTTAAGATCATCTACAGGGTCCAAGGATTTTTTTCTACAGTGGCTCAAATTTTAACTTGCTCCACCAAAAGAAATGTTTGTTTGACCCATGTAATGCTGTATTCTAATAAATAAGCCACCAAAAAAATGTACATACTGGTGACATTTCACAATTTGGAATTGATTCCAAATGCGATACCCCAGAAAAAACTACTAGCCTAACTAATATTAAGTTAAAATATTATTGAACAACCCTCTACGGACACACTGAAGCTTGAGTCACTGGCTAGTTCATTTTTTATTTTACTCGCCAGACTTTTTACAAGTAATGCAAATGAAACAATTCTATATAAATATAACACAAAAAGTACAGAAAAGACAAGTAAACAGTCTGTATTGAAATAAGAACAAATAATCAAACTACAAGCAATAGCAAAAATAAACACAACAGAGCACAGATACAAATAAAATAAACCGTGCTTTCCAGGTTTTTCAGAAAGATCTAACAGTAGTCAGATACAGATTACAGGCTAATTAGGTACAGCATTTAAATAAAATAATCTAAAAACACTGCATAGTCCAATTAAAATTCGGTTTCAAATAAATTAAAATATTTGAAAATAAAATAAATTAAAATAGTCCTCAAATTAAATGTAGATGAATCCTTATTAAAGTAACAAAGTTATTCAATGAATAGCAGTGACTATTTTTGCAGTGATTATTTTGTTGCTTGATTAAAATTAAAAACAGATTTCGAAGCCATTCGAAGCAGGCAGTCTTCTTGTGCTTGAATGTTTAAATTAGCGAGGATTAAAAAAAAAAATGTGCACATGATAAACTTTCATGATGACACAGCACTGAACCAATCTAGCATTGTCAACTCTTGACCATCGGGCGGTCCTTATTGTCTGCATTTAGATCTAGCGCGTCAATTCGCTGTGCGTCGCATGCGTAAAAGCCTCTCTTTCTCTCAGGTTGAGTGTGTGTGTAAGGCAAATAGACAAAGGGCAATCTCAGGCAATGAAATTATATCGGCACTAAACTTATTTTTTGCCTCTAACTCAATCACAGGTAAGTGAAATCGTACAACATACCAGCCTTTTGATAATTAAAGACATTTTTAACTTGCCTAATGTGAAATTTCGTCTTATATGCATGGGATTTACTCGCAATGTAGAGGGTTATTGAAGACAAGTGAGTATTCAGTAATAAAAAAAACAACTAAAAGCAACAGCTCATAAATACAACAGAAAAAAGATACAAGTGAAATAACCTGTGCTTTAAGATTTTCAGGTAAGTTTAACACTATTCAAGTACAGAAATTGAATAATCAAATATAAAATAACATCACAAAGTCTTCACCATTTAAATTAAAGATAGATTAATCTTTGTTAAAGCTATAAATCAAGTCAAGATCAGTGAGTGATTTTCTCTTTGTCTTTTGTTCGATTAACATTAATGACAGACAACAGCAGAAATATTAGGCTGCTGTAACTTTAAGACTAAAATGCATGGACACAATATACTGTTACACACGTTTTCTTTCTCATCTGTTTACGTTCAGTTAACAGCTTTGTTGTGTGTATTTTTCTGTTCCGTTATTGTTGAGCCCTGTTACTAATAACAACAACATGTCTGACTGTCAGATAATCAACACCATTCAGACTTTAATTCTTATTTACTGAAAATACAACCTCTGGATCTTACCTCAGGCTTTTCCTCAGATTTAATGTCTTCCTGCTTTCCAGTTCTTCCTCCCACCATGGTTTCTTCATCCTCATCCTCATCCTCCTCCTCTTCTTTCTGCTTGACCTCCACCTTGGGCTCAAAGGGGGTTGTGGAGTCTGAAGGACCGTGCTGAAATGATCCATCTGCACTGCTGACGGAGGCAGGGGTAGCAGCCTGGCCGTCCACTGGCAGAGAACCCTTATGAGACAACTGAAAAAAGAAAAGACAAAAAGGGTCAAAAAGGTAAAACATTAAGTGTTATGGCTTTAGAAGGATCCCAAATCTAAGACCACAAGTGAAAACCGCGATACAGTCTAAATAAATACGAACATCTTTGAAACCTCTCAGATTTTAAATACATTTTCAAATGCATAAGTAATTGGATTTGATCCTAAATTCCAGGGATCTCATCCCGTCAAAATTGAGGAACAAATTAGGATTTATAACAAGCAAAAAGTGACATGAAAATGTTATTTTGCATACACCAACTGAAGAGCATGTGTACAGACTTTTTGTGCTCATATATATTATATATATATATATATATATATATATATACACACACATCTCAGAAATGGTTGTGCGTTCACATTTAGGACCATTCTACGTGTGCATTTACAGTTTCGTCGTATATAGAGCAACAGTACTCACTGGAGTGCGGGGATGCTGGCTGGGATTTGGTGTGGAGAGGCCACTTTGAGAAACAGCGGGAGAAGGTCCTCCTAATGTCTGCTGCTGTGGTTGCATGGCATTGTCAGAACTGCTGGACGGATGTAACTGCTGCTGACTGCCGGTCGGGGGTAACTGGGGTAGACCGGGTGTATGGGGCTGGGGTGTCTGGGAGCGGGGAGTGGGTGTGGGTGTACGGCTGTGTGCTGGGGAAGGAGAATTCTGGTGGACGGGCGGGCAGTGGGGGAGGTTGATGGACTGTGTTGGGGTGGATGCCGGAGGAACCCCACTTATGCTGTTGGGACCCGAGGACCCGCTGCCTGCCCCACCAGCAGACCCAGGCTGGGCTAAAGGACTGCCGACTGGTAAAGATGATAAAGTAGGCATTTGCCCCTGCTGTCAAGTTAAAAAGAGCAAAGGAATGCATTCATGAAGCAGTTCTGAACTAATATCATATATGGTGCATTACAGCTCTAGAACGTTTAAATGACAAAAAACAACAGTTGTGTATATGCGTGTAGTAGTAACACTACTGTGTTTTCTCAAAGCAATAAGAATTCATAATTGAATGGCATTAGGATGACATTAAGAACATGATTAAGTTAATACAATTCAGAGAAAATCTATACTCTCTTACTTGAGTAATAGCGCCATCATTTCCTTGGTGTGCCATGTCAACAGATCCACCACCAAGAACAGGACTTGAGCCTTGAAACTGTCCTGGTTGCATGTACTGATTTTGCATCTGTGCAACATTTGGTTGTGGCATCCTCCCAGTGCCCATGCTTCCCTGAAACAGTCAAAACATTCAGCATTTAGAAGTAATATTTTGTGCACACTTAAAGCTGCAGTCTGGCGTTTTTCCTCTTTGTCGCCATCTCTGTTCAAAATCTGCAATTGCAGTCATTCGGGGAATTATCAACTTTACGTGGGTTGCACTTCAACATCCTCGACAAGGCACAGCGCAGATGAACACAATGTTTGAGGAAAGTATGAGGCTGTTAGTCGACGCGCCGATGTGGATACTGGCATTCAGATTCTCAGATTATTCTTTTTGGAAGTATGACCAACATAAGACTTTTCACTGGAAAATATCATCTGAACTAGTAAGAAACATCCACTTTTTTTCTGGTTCTGACATTGCAGTAAATCCCACTGATTAAATCTAACAATCGCTTATCATATCACGCAAAACTGTGCAAATTATACTTTGTTCTCAAATTGTTAATGTTAACAACGCATTGTGTGACTACATGTAATGTCCTTCCGATATGCATCCTTGTTTTCGCATGGGCCAGTTGCAGTCTCTTTTTTTTTTTTCTGTAACCACTCCAATGTCCGAACAAAGTCTTCTGCATTTTACAGTGGGTGAATCCGTTGTCACTGGTGATTGTAAGATGGTGATCGAGCTAAGGCAAGCAGATCCTTTTGAACACTGGCTCGTTATGCATTTTCTCAAATATGTATTTTGGATAATTTTTAACCCAAAAAAGCTACAGACTGCAGCTTTAAAACAATCTTCCACGGAACTACTATGGAGTAATAAATAACAAAAGTACAAAGGCTATCATTTCTAGTCACAGTAATAACCTGGTTAAGAGTCGTGTTGAGTGGAAGAGGAGGTGTAGATCTCTGGCCCATGGACTGCATTCCCATATGATTCCCAAATGGATTCATGCCTGCAAAGCACAGAGCAGAAAGGAGACTTAATACATGTGTACATATACACTACCATTCAAAAAGTATTTTATGCTTACCAATGCTGAATTTGATTAAAAATATATATAATGTAATATTGTAAAACAGGGGTCTTCAACGTTTTTCAGGGCATTGGCCTCTTAGGCAATAGAGACATGGAGCAGGAACCCCTGATACAAAATGTGTCAAATAGATCTACTTTCAGCGTGTAATTGGCCATTGGTCAGCATAGCTGCATAAAAAAACAATACTTGTATTCAACGGATTATAGCTATATAGCCTTGAAAGTGTGAAAGAGCGCTCACTTTACAATCACTAAAAAGCTGTCACTCATCTCAGTTTGCAATCTCACAACTTTTCTTTGAAAATCAATAAAGTTGTCTATACACACTGCATGATTCTCTTACATCATCTCTTTGTTTTATAATGAGAGGTTTTGCGAGAGCGAACAGAACTCAGCACTTGAAAAAAAAACTGCATTTAATTAAATTTCTTTTAAAAAAAAGAAAAAATTACTGACACAAAATAAAATGTATATAATCTCAGTAAACATACAAATATGTGTGTGTGTGTGTGTGTATAAATAAATAATGTGTGCATGCGCCTATGTGAGATATACACACCAGCAGCATTCTGCATCCTGTTCATCATCTGGTTTGGACCAGCAGGCCGCACCATCGAATGATCTGAGAGAGGACCATCTACAGATAGAGGGGCAAAACAAAAAAAATAAACAAGTCTATGAAATCACTTAATTGCAGATTTCTTTTGTTCTGTTGACATTATGTCCTATTAGGGCCGGAAAATCGAAAGGCTCGTCAGTGAAGGAGACAAAAAACTTCTTAATTTGTCATGATGCTTTGTACTATTTTCATTTTACACAGTTTTAACTGTATGCAGCAACACTTTAGTTGTCCTAAAACAAGAACGGATATTGTTCAAAATTCATGTATAACTTTGATGTAAGGTTTTGATCCACTTCAGTATTTTAAAGCAATACTATTTAGTTAGTTAATTTTTATTTTAGTTTTAGTTTAAATGATTAAACTGTAAGTAGCCTAATCCAGCTACTTATTACCTGAGATTATTAAATTATTAAAGTTATTAAAACAAATATACAGATTTAACTGATATATTATTTATCATTCACATAAGGAATGCAACATGCTCGCGTCAGATAAATGCATCTAAACTTTTTTTTGTTCTATGTTGACAGTGATTAAAGGCTATACTAAATCTACACTAAACATATTCACCCAACACCAATTTGTTTATTGCACAGATCTATTTTGAAACTTGATATTCTGTTAATCTTCCCAATTTCATGAGTGACTCACAAAATTTAGAGGTTTAAAGACGAGACTTCCTCCGTATGACGTCAAACGGAGGAGATTCAAGATTAGTCCATCTGAGCTTTCATTTTCTCAATTGAAGAGAAAGATAGCCAAAGCTCAGTTTACACAGATTGAAATTTCTAGCCACTGGGGGACCATTTACAGTCTAGGGGAACTCATATTAATGTTAAAAAAAAATTATGACAGGGGACCTTTAAGTCCAAAGGCTCACAAATTTAGAAAAACATAGATAAAATATCATGTTTACATCACATTTCTTTAGAAAGAGTGAGCATTTCTTTTAATTTTCCAAAATATTAAGTGATCTGAGGAGGTTTGAGTGATCTCTGCCATCTCCCTATAACTGTTATCCTTTCAGTCAGCTCAATAGAGAAGAAAACAGGAGTTATGAGTTATACGAGTTAAACAGATACAGATGCATGCGAATGAGGAAACGCAACTGATCCTGGCACGCACTAGCACACTCACTATTTTCTTTTCTGTTTGAATTCGTTTTCTAAACAATGAATGCTAATAGTGTTTTGATTACTAGATTTGGCAATGTGAATTTGATTTTAAAAATGTTATTTTTCTTGTGAGAAGGAGCTGTGATACGTCCAACCCATAACTTATCTATGGTTTTAGCTCTACTATAGGAGGGGCACCTTTCATGGACGAGTACTCACTAGTAGGCAGTCCTGTGGGTGGCCCTGGTTGACCAATCCCAGTGGGCATCATGCCCTGCTTCTGTAACCGCGTCCTTCGCTTCTCTTCCAGTTCCTTTTGGATCTTATAGATCTTCTCTGCCAGCAGGTGATAATACTCCGCCTGAGAAGTGTGATAGTGACTTATAAACCAGTGATTATGATAAAAGACAAATCATTAACAGACAAAGACAATGTTCTCACCCTGCTGTTAGCAGACTCATACATATCCCCCTCAACTTTACGCGCATAGGCCACTAGATTCTCCATCCGCCGGTCCTTCAGTGCAGCTGGGTCTGGGGTGGGAAAAATGGCTTGGACTCTAAATAAAGAGAACAACAAAGAGGCACATCGAAATGAATATTAATCAAAAGCCTTGGTCTGTGGTTATAATGAATAAATAACTTATTAAGTACTTGTTTTAAAGATCTTCCACTATAAAAGGTGACTAACAAAAAAAGACAAATGATACTGCAACTTTCAGAATTTTCACAAACCAGTGTACAACTTACAGTTTGTGGACCAGGTGGTTGCGTAGATCCTGGGTTATGTCCTCATGCCAATTCTTCCTCATGCCAGCACTAGCCGCTGGGTTGGCCATAGGCATACACCCCACACCACCCACAGCATTGTCATTCATCAGACTAGTGAAAGGTGATAGAAACAAATAACGACCACTCTATGTTTGAATATAAACTTATTAAAACTGTACACGCCTGCTACAGCGGATTAGTGTTACTGTGAGATTTTAAGACTCTCTGAACGTAGAGGACAGAATGCTGATTAGTTACGCGAGGTGTACCGAAGGGTTTGTTTACCTCTGTGAGTTCATGTTCAGATGCAGCATTGTATCCTGGAGAAGGTTAGATTGCTGATTCTGAGACTGACCACCCACGGCCCCATTTACTCCCATGGAATTCGCTCCTGTAACAAGAAAGGTCATGAGAAGAGACACTTACACTACACGTCTAATAGAAAATTGGGGTTGGTGATATTTTATATTTTAAAAAGAAGTCTCTCATGCTCACTAAGGCATTATTTGATCAAAAATACAGTAAAAACTGTAATATTGTGAAATAAATAATATTACAATTTAAAATAACTGTTTATCAATTTTCAGTCTTCAGTGTCACTTGATTCTTCAGAAATAAATCTAATATTAATGATTTGATTGAAGTAATATTAATAATTGTAATATTATAAAATGTCTTAACTTTCACTTTTGATCAATGTGTCCCCCAAAAAAAGACCCCAAACTCATAGTTCAAATAAAATCTGAAACCTCTGTTATTACCCATGCTGTTCATTGCCCGTTGTGATTGTTGGACAGGCTGAGGGGAAGCCTGGTTTCCCTGGTATGTTAGGCCCAGGGCTGCGTAAGCCCTCTCGATGGAGCTGGGGTCTATCTGCCCTTGGGTATTGAGATTGGAGGCACTGGGCGAACCACCAGTTACATTACCC